AAAGAATAGACTTAAATGCTGGGGGAAGGGGATGCCGGGAACCAGCCCTCGCTAATAATAATATTATCTCGAGCCGGTGTTTTCCACGGTAGCATCGCGAGCCGAGCCACGAAAGGAGCATTGTTAGCGCGGAGAAATGTGGATAAATTATTCCCTCTCCGACGATAATTTGATAAAAACCGCGGTAATATATTCTCGTACCATTTGAATATTCCACTCGTCTCATTTGGTAAATGATGTCTCGTTTGGCTTGTTATCGAACCATCGATGTTGGAAATTGTGAATGAATTCGACGTCTCTATCGATTCATTAACGCGTTGATTGCCAGCTCTGAACTCCTCGAATTGTTAAAATTCTTGAAGAATTACACGTGAGGGTTTGTATCTACGTATCATTTTAAATCTAATTATTTTGAGCTAAACTTTGAACGTCACGTGAGATGGGAGATTTTTAAAAATAGCTGGAAGAAAAACGGTTCGTTGAAAGTGGGATTAGGAGAGCCCTCGAAACTCCTCGAATTGTTGAAATTCTTGAAGAATTACACGTGAGGGTTTGTATCTACGTATCATTTTAAATCTAATTATTTTGAGCTAAACTTTGAACGTCACGTGAGATGGGAGATTTTTAAAAATAGCTGGAAGAAAAACGGTTCGTTGAAAGTGGGATTGGAGAGCCCTCGAAACTCCTCGAATTGTTGAAATTCTTGAAGAATTACACGTGAGGGTTTGTATCTACGTATCATTTTAAATCTAATTATTTTGAGCTAAAGTTTGAACGTCACGTGAGATGGGAGATTTTTAAAAATAGCTGGAAGAAAAACGGTTCGTTGAAAGTGGGATTAGGAGAGCCCTCGAAACTCCTCGAATTGTTGAAATTCTTGAAGAATTACACGTGAGGGTTTGTATCTACGTATCATTTTAAATCTAATTATTTTGAGCTAAACTTTGAACGTCACGTGAGATGGGAGATTTTTAAAAATAGCTGGAAGAAAAACGGTTCGTTGAAAGTGGGATTGGAGAGCCCTCGAAACTCCTCGAATTGTTGAAATTCTTGAAGAATTACACGTGAGGGTTTGTATCTACGTATCATTTTAAATCTAATTATTTTGAGCTAAACTTTGAACGTCACGTGAGATGGGAGATTTTTAAAAATAGCTGGAAGAAAAACGGTTCGTTGAAAGTGGGATTGGAGAGCCCTCGAAACTCCTCGAATTGTTGAAATTCTTGAAGAATTACACGTGAGGGTTTGTATCTACGTATCATTTTAAATCTAATTATTTTGAGCTAAACTTTGAACGTCACGTGAGATGGGAGATTTTTAAAAATAGCTGGAAGAAAAACGGTTCGTTGAAAGTGGAATTGGAGAGCCCTCGAAACTCCTCGAATTGTTGAAATTCTTGAAGAATTACACGTGAGGGTTTGTATCTACGTATCATTTTAAATCTAATTATTTTGAGCTAAACTTTGAACGTCACGTGAGATGGGAGATTTTTAAAAATAGCTGGAAGAAAAACGGTTCGTTGAAAGTGGGATTGGAGAGCCCTCGAAACTCCTCGAATTGTTGAAATTCTTGAAGAATTACACGTGAGGGTTTGTATCTACGTATCATTTTAAATCTAATTATTTTGAGCTAAACTTTGAACGTCACGTGAGATGGGAGATTTTTAAAAATAGCTGGAAGAAAAACGGTTCGTTGAAAGTGGGATTGGAGAGCCCTCGAAACTCCTCGAATTGTTGAAATTCTTGAAGAATTACACGTGAGGGTTTGTATCTACGTATCATTTTAAATCTAATTATTTTGAGCTAAACTTTGAACGTCACGTGAGATGGGAGATTTTTAAAAATAGCTGGAAGAAAAACGGTTCGTTGAAAGTGGAATTGGCGAGCCCTCGAAACTCCTCGAATTGTTGAAATTCTTGAAGAATTACACGTGAGGGTTTGTATCTACGTATCATTTTAAATCTAATTATTTTGAGCTAAACTTTGAATGTCACGTGAGATGGGAGATTTTTAAAAATAGCTGGAAGAAAAACGGTTCGTTGAAAGTGGGATTGGAGAGCCCTCGAAACTCCTCGAATTGTTGAAATTCTTGAAGAATTACACGTGAGGGTTTGTATCTACGTATCATTTTAAATCTAATTATTTTGAGCTAAACTTTGAACGTCACGTGAGATGGGAGATTTTTAAAAATAGCTGGAAGAAAAACGGTTCGTTGAAAGTGGGATTAGGAGAGCCCTCGAAACTCCTCGAATTGTTGAAATTCTTGAAGAATTACACGTGAGGGTTTGTATCTACGTATCATTTTAAATCTAATTATTTTGAGCTAAACTTTGAACGTCACGTGAGATGGGAGATTTTTAAAAATAGCTGGAAGAAAAACGGTTCGTTGAAAGTGGGATTGGAGAGCCCTCGAAACTCCTCGAATTGTTGAAATTCTTGAAGAATTACACGTGAGGGTTTGTATCTACGTATCATTTTAAATCTAATTATTTTGAGCTAAACTTTGAACGTCACGTGAGATGGGAGATTTTTAAAAATAGCTGGAAGAAAAACGGTTCGTTGAAAGTGGAATTGGAGAGCCCTCGAAACTCCTCGAATTGTTGAAATTCTTGAAGAATTACACGTGAGGGTTTGTATCTACGTATCATTTTAAATCTAATTATTTTGAGCTAAACTTTGAACGTCACGTGAGATGGGAGATTTTTAAAAATAGCTGGAAGAAAAACGGTTCGTTGAAAGTGGGATTGGAGAGCCCTCGAAACTCCTCGAATTGTTGAAATTCTTGAAGAATTACACGTGAGGGTTTGTATCTACGTATCATTTTAAATCTAATTATTTTGAGCTAAACTTTGAACGTCACGTGAGATGGGAGATTTTTAAAAATAGCTGGAAGAAAAACGGTTCGTTGAAAATGGGATTAGGAGAGCCCTCGAAACTCGTCCTGCTTTCCAGGCTGCCTTAACCCAGTGAACCATTCCGATCACCGATAGATTAATTCCGTCTTAACAAGCTTAATGTTTAATTCACTCAATCGGTCTCGGGTTGCAATTAAATTGTAGATCACGGTGATCGAGCAAATCTACTTTGGCGGATGCCCGGAAGGGAAATACCATCAATCGCAAAAGTTTCTCCAGGAAAGATACATTTCACATTCGCGAAACCAACGTAGCGATTTTTAATGCAGTATCATTATTGCGTTTAAATGTCAAGTGTTTAGTATTCATGGATGATTTGCAAATTATTGATTCACGACAACAAGTTTCAGATGCGACACGCGTAATTTTAAGTAATATATTTGAGCGGTTTTCAATGGAGATCGCGATGAATCATTGTTTACGTCGTTCGACGTACTAATCTCGCAAACGAGCAACTCGCATGACGTTGCGTAACGATGCAGCGTCGCGAATCTTTGGCCGGTAACGAGTGCATTAAATCGATCACTGTGCATTTTTTCATTCCGATACGCGGGAAAGGAAACGAAAGAGGGCATCGGAAAAATTTCGAATAAATTCGTCGCTGATAAACGATACGATATCAGCGGGCATGGATAACGGCGACGTATCTCCGAAGATATTGATTTTACAATCCAATCCTTCTCTATTAATAATCCTTATCAGAAAACATAGAGCAAATATTTATCTGTTCGTGGCAAAATTTAATTCCATTTTTTTTAAAATCGTTAGAAACAATAAAACCGGATTTCGGCGGCCATCATTATCCGCGGCACGAATTCCCTCGAAATTTAATCAGACCTTGTAACGAGAATTGAAATACAAAGTTTAATTGAAATTCAGTCGTTCGTATGAAATTCTGTTAACAGTAGAAAAGCGAAAAAGATTGTATTTAAAACTGGTTTCTTCGCGGAATCAAAACACTCGTGCACGTTGATGGGAAAGTATAAAAATCAGTGCGTACGAAAAAACGAAATTTAACGCGTACCTCGCCCCCATCCCCTCCGAGGGAAAACATTTTTCCCATTTACGCAGTCTCGTTATCCCATTGAAGATAACGAAACAGAGTGAAATTTAATAGTACGCCAAAGTGGATTCCGTTGGAAAATCCAGCCGACGGAAAGTTTGCTTTGTCATCGCGTAATCTCTTAAAAAGACGATGATACGGCGCGGAGAAAGAATAAATTGCCGGGGCTGGCGTTCGACGGAGAAATCGATTATCGTCGACAGAAAGATATTCTTGTCTCTCAAGGCGAATGTCGTAATCTATCATAATCGTCTATTAACGCTACGCAGCTTCGTAGCAGCCTACGAAACTGCTACATTGTTGCACGAGCGTGTTTCGCGTGAAATTCGATCTCTCGGAATGAAAAATGATTCGTCCGTTTCTATAAAATGGAATTAAATATTTCGAAAACGTTCGTTCGAACAGATATTGGCTTGTGAAAATTATACCTATAATTCTGAAACGCCTGCGTTTCAATTTTTATCGAAACCCGATGAAACCCGATTCCTGCTTCCTGTGCCGACAAAACGCGCGTTACGCGCTCCGATATCGATACCACGAGTCATTGCCCCCTCGCGTAGTAGATGATATCGATAGAAGGATGACTTTTATCACCGTGTTGCCGCGTGATATGTCAATCCCGGAACACTGGGCCTGAAAATGTCACCGAACGTTCCGTACGTAGGTCAAAGAGACTGTCCTGTGACCTGGTCTTCTTCTCATCGTCAAACAAATCGAATAACTGCTCTATCTTTGCGAAACCAAACTTAATTGGTTTCAAAGTGGGCAGATTAGATTGCAAGAATTGTGTTAAAAATGTTAACCTTGAGCTTGATTAGATACAAACGACTTATCTCGTATCTTTCTTCACGATGAAAGAAAACTTTGTTGATTTTCGAAAGTCAAACACAGAATGGATCGTTATCGAACTATTAACATCGAAAAAGGAGTTTCAAGGGGACAGCCTCTATCAAAAAGGATGTCTGCTCCAAAAACAGCTCTACGTGCGTGTAAGAGCGATGGAAAACAAGGATGTTTGCTTACTCAGGATGTCGAACTGCGGTAGCCATTTCTTCACTAGAACGTTCTTCGACTTGAGGGGCAGCTCGTCGGTCTCCCACTTCCAAATCACTTTCCTGGGTATGGAGGTTAACACGTTCAGCAGTACGTTCAATTTGTCCTCGGGTACGGTGGCCATTTTCACCATGGAGCCAAGATTGAAGTAGAGGACGCCTTCGTGAGCGTCGTCGAGGAACTTCTTGATGTCCTTCGGCAGAGGATTCGGTTTCGATGGTATGTGCAGCCCGCCCACCTCGACTACGTTCGGGGGAAAGTGTTGAGCACCGTGCAGAGAATGATGCGTGTTGAGCAGCATCAACGACACGTTTTTACCGATCTCCCTGACGCTGGGCAGCCCTGGACCGTAATACTTCTCCGCCACGGACTGATCGCGCCAATTGAACAGAGTATCGTAAACAGTGGTCACGAACGATATCGACAACACGTTCCACGTCCTCTGAAGGAAGCTCATCGGCTTTGGCAGATGGCTGAACATCGCTGGCACGTAGCTGGGCTCGTGGGAGGCCGCCAATTGCTCGACCGCCCAGTCCATCAGCTGATGAGTCGATATTTGCACGAAAGGTGCCCCGGTCTTGTGCACCACCGACATGAAACAATGTGTATTGAAGCTCTCCGTCAACACCAGGTCGAACTTCTCGGACTCGACGACCTTCTTCAGCTCCACGTTCCTCAGTCCAATGTCGCAGGACAGGTTCCCCGTCAAGTACAAGGAGTACAGATTCCTGACGACGTTCAAGACACTGTTCTCCATGTTACGCAGATCCACCACGTTCACGAACACCTGCACCTTCTCGTCCACCAGGCTGACGTCTTTGTAATTTGGCAGCGGCTCCGCGGCGATGGCCTTCTGGGTTCTTGGAAAATGTGATGCCACCGTAAGCTCGTGGCCACGTCGCGCCAACTCCTCCAGAAGAGGCTTGAAAACGTCGAAGTGGCTCTTGCCCATGTGTCCGAATACCGCCAGGATCCTGAACTTGGATGCGGTCACTTCGGTGTCGTTCCACGCCGTGCACGACCCGATCATCGCCAAAAAACACACCAGGACGCATCGTGATCGCGGGACCAGCATGTCGACGACTCGTTTCGCGCAGCACTACGTTTTCAGATGGTCCGCCAAGCTCTGACGAACGTCGGTTCGAGGAACGACTATTAATTGGCCGCTGCTCGCGTCGGTTCGTCGGTGGAACCAACGTTGGCCGACGTGCGACGAAGTTTGACGCAGATACGCGGGACAGTGCTGCTGTTTCCTCGGGGGGGAATCCAAGTCCACGCAGCCAGCGGACGATAAACTACGAACGTTGGGTCGTCGATATTATTCACGATTACGTAAAGGGTTTCCTACGATGCCAATCAGCCGATTCTTCGTAACGAAACAATTTGGGGATACAAGGATACATTCTTTTTCTGTATTATTCAAGCCATCGAATTGTACTATTAGATCGATGGATCTTGCTGGTTTCGATGTTATCTGTTTATTTGCAGGTCCAATTTCTAATTTATTGCGGTTGTGCTTAGGCAAGGCTTAGACTACCCAGGTCTATCCAGGTTGGTAGCATTGGAGCTGCTTTTAAAATGCAATTTAAAAGACCCAATGGAAACGTTAAAATACTATGAATGAATCTGAGGTCATCGAGATTAATTTCGACTGCTCCATTTTGTATTATATTTTGTTCAATTTAAAAGACTCCAGAGAGACATTGAAATGAATTTTATCGTTATTAAGATTAATTTCGAGTGCCCTATTCCCAACTCACGTAGCGTTGACGTGGTCTTTCCTTTGGATCGTTTTATCTGTCGCGAGGTACGCGTGTTCCGGCGTGATTCGAGCAAAATGTAGCCGGACGATATCGATGACTGTGGTAAATGAAAAATGAGTCGGCAAACGGACCCGATATCGCGGTTAATACGCGCCTGGTCATTACGCAATAGATCAGAAACGTGACGCGTGTTTTTAACAGCGAGCAAAGAGACCATCCGCTATTCCGGGCGCTCGACGTGTCCGCGTCGGGCAAACAGAGGCGTGCTCGCGTCAACTGAAACTTATTCTCGTCTCGCTTATAATTGCCCGGCTCGAATCAACGCGCTGAGAGTTTTAAGTCGCGGGCAAACTTCGCGCGGATTTACGGGGAAACACGGAAACAGAGAGATCTCGCGGTTTAAGATAAAAGTGATCCGCGGAAACGCTTCCGAACAAGTTCCACAAACGGGACTGTCGAGGCGACGATAACGAATCAAACTAATGCGTGGCGATCATCTAAAGGATGTACCAAGATGATCATACGACGAAATTTTTCTACATACTGTTTCTAAGAGATGTTCAATTATTTTGTGTATAAAGTAGACCTAAGGATATTGACTCTATTTTTTAAATGAAAATCGAATGGTTGAATAAATGTACCAAGATGATCATACAACGAAATTTTTTACACACTGTTTCTAAGAGATATTGTTCAATTATTTTGTATATAAAGTAGACCTAAGGATATTGACTCTATTTTTTAAATGAAAATCGAATGGTTGAATAAATGTACCAAGACGATCATACGACGAGATTTCTCTACATACTGTTTCTAAGAGATGTTCAATTATTTAGTATATAAAGTAGGCCTAAGAATATTGATTCTATTTTTTAAATGAAAATTGAATAAATTGTTTTCTACAAAGTAACACGATTTTGTATCTTTTATACCTTAACTATCCCCTAATTTACTCCACGATACAATAACCTTTCCTGACGCTATAAATGTCGACGAGCAGTGTTCAGAGACAGAGTATTCATAGAAACGACCATTGGACGGTGTCCAAAAAATATCGTAACCTTAACACCGATCGTGCCACGCTCTAAAACACACGCGATCGCTGGTGGGGACCAGAGGATCGAGCGACTAAACAATTTTTCACGCGTGGACGAGCCACCGTGTTGTTCGAAACCGTCGGGATACAGAAACGACCGTTCCAGTCCGATAAGAATCAAAACTTTTGGAGTTGAAAAACACTTGAAACATTATTGTTCACGACTTCCGGTACACTGACTAGCGATACTGTTCGATCGACGATAAAATCCTTTATGCGCGTGTTTATCTGGAACGATGATCGAAATCGATCTTCGACGAACAAAATTTATCAGTAGTTTCTAAACTTCGCGTACATTTCACACGATAATATTTGGCCTCGATTTGTAACGTAATTTTGGATTCAAATCCACGATTAATCTATTATACTTCGAGCCGTGTGACCATCGACGAGCGATAGCCTAAATATAACTCGCGTGTGTTCATCGGTAGTACGAACATAAATAAGTTATCAATAATTTCAACGATACTGCTTGACAACACGTAAACACCGTCACCTTGAGTACTATTTACACGCGTAATTTTCATTTTAAATAGTCGATAGGATTGACTATCCGCGTTCTAAACTGCACCGCAAAATAATATTTCGGAATGCATAAATACTGGACTCGGTTACAACGAGCATGAATGTAGCCCGTGGCTGTAACGAGCAAACAGCAATAATGATCGAATTTATGCGCATCTCCGTACGAGTAATCGCTTTTATAACGAGCACGTCACACGAATATGCCGTACAAATTTTAGCGATAAGCGAAATCGGTAAAATCAGCTTCAAGATTCATTAATATCGACGGGAATAACATTAAAAATAATTTCATCTTTTTACAGGCTATTACAATCAACCTATAATCGACTGTAAAAGTCTCTTCTGTCTCTTTTGCTATACTGTCCGAGCAAAGTATCAATGTGAGTCACCGTATCGCGATAAAAAGAGAACTACCAGGAAGAACAGCGTATCAGAATCAAATTTTCCTCGAGCGTCGACCGACCGAAACCGCAAATTCTAAAAGGCTTTTCCGATCCCTTACCCCCCCGCCATAATTTCTCCACCGATCAGCCACCTGCACACGGTTACCTCGGTCTTGTTTGCTCCAGTTTCGCGACTCCGGTGAATTCCTCGGAACCGGGGACAACAGGTAGAGGCTCGTTAAAACGTACCGCAGATCCAATCATTTTATTACATTACCAGCGAACGGTTCCCCCTTCCATTCGATTTGGAGGAACCGCTGCGTCGATGCTCCAACAAATAAAAACGATACAATTTTCTATTGTTCTTAGAAATTTGTACAGAGACAGCTCGAATACATTTACCATCGCTGGCTAGATTTTTACCATTTATTTCCTCCCATTTTAATAGCAAATATCAGTTACTACCCCCTCCCCCTTCGTGCTCGTACACTCCAACAAATAAAAACGATACATTTTCTATTGTTCTTAGAAATTTGTACAGAGACAGCTCGAATACATTTACCATCGCTGGCTAGATTTTTACCATTTATTTCCTCCCATTTTAATAGCAAATATCAGTTACTACCCCCTCCCCCTTCGTGCTCGTACACTCCAACAAATAAAAACGATACATTTTCTATTGTTCTTAGAAATTTGTACAGAGACAGCTCGAATACATTTACCATCGCTGGCTAGATTTTTACCATTTATTTCCTCCCATTTTAATAGCAAATATCAGTTACAACCCCACCCACCCTTCGTGCTCGTACACTCCAACAAATAAAAACGATACATTTTCTATTGTTCTTAGAAATTTGTACAGAGACAGCTCGAATACATTTACCATCGCTGGCTAGATTTTTACCATTTATTTCCTCCCATTTTAATAGCAAATATCAGTTACAACCCCACCCACCCTTCGTGCTCGTACACTCCAACAAATAAAAACGATACATTTTCTATTGTTCTTAGAAATTTGTACAGAGACAGCTCGAATACATTTACCATCGCTGGCTAGATTTTTACCATTTATTTCCTCCCATTTTAATAGCAAATATCAGTTACTACCCCACCCACCCTTCGTGCTCGTACACTCCAACAAATAAAAACGATACAATTTTCTATTGTTCTTAGAAATTTGTACAGAGACAGCTCGAATACATTTACCATCGCTGGCTAGATTTTTACCATTTATTTCCTCCCATTTTAATAGTCAATATCAGTTACTCCCCTCCCCTTCGTGATTCACTGCGAGCGAAAACTTGTTTTTTTTATGAATTTTTCCCCTGTTTGTTTGTTAGACTGTGTTGCCTCTGTTTACGAAGGTAGATTTTGTTTCGTTTCGCTTTTTTAATATCAACGAACCAGTAATTCCCAATTACATAACCGATAGAGAGGTATAATATAAAAAGTATAAAACAACAGTAATGCTAACAATACACGGTGTTTCCAAAATGGTAAATCCTGGCACTGGCCGCGCCCAACGTTGCATAACTTCGGTGTTTTCAACGCGGCAGGATCGTTGGCAAATGTTATCCTCAATTAATTAAAAGACGAACTCTTAAAATACTTGTATCAGTTTTTAAAAACGAGCTTCTTTTTATCCACAGTCATCGTTATCGCGCAGGAACGTAATCGTTCGAATACCTCGAAGCGTTTATCTCGAGTGCAAGCAAAATAGAACCGCGCGAGAACCTCCTTTCCGTTTATCTGACGTGTTTCGTCGATTTTACCACGTACATTTTGCTTTTTAACCGGTTCCTTTCCTGCACGGTCGTATTAATTGTAACAGCACTTTGCTTAATTACTTCAAAGCACCCTTTCCGCCGTCCTCGTCGCCCTCCCGCGCCACCACCCGTCGCGTTCGAGCGCGTTCCACATTTCCCTTTTATTCCAACGATTTTCGATACTTGTCGATCTTGCCTCCCAGATAATTCCGCTCCGGGAGACCCGATTCCCGAGCAAGTAAATACTGCAACGGTGGAAAACGTCGAGAGAAAAATTTCTGTAAGATGTATCCTTGCTCGCGTCGGCAAACACGACCTTTTCTGTTCAAACGTTCACGCCCTTTGCGCTTTCTGGCCTTAATTTCGCCGATTTGTCGGCCCGCTTGTCCGATCCCTTTGTTTCTTTGCGGAGGACGGGGGTGCAAAGTAAACGAGACAGGTGAAACACGGCTCACCGAACCGTGCATCGAAAATTCATGACTCGCGAACCGACCGTGGAAATGATTTTCTGCTTTCGCCTGTCGACGGTGCTCGTTGGTAAATTAAGTACGGAACAATGTAGAGTGATATTTATGATTAACACTAGATTTACGGAACCCGTCAATTTGACGTACGTCGGATTCCATGTTTAAAATTGCAGAACGCGGTAAATATTATTTTTTAACAACTTCTGTTGAACTTGTTTGATGCAATGGCACGAATACATAGTCTATAGATGCCAGATTCCATGTTTAAAATTGCAGA